CTTTTGAGGTGGTGGCTTGGATTTCACTTGCTGAACGTTAGATTTGGTTGCAGAAGCCTGGTTGGTTTTAGTGTTTGTGTTCTTGCTTTTAGGTGTCTGTACAGGGGTGGATGGAGGGCTAGTACAGATGGAAGTTGTAGTAGTAGATGCTGTATTCACATTCCCAACAGATGCACGAATTGTAACCTTGGGAAGGGAGAACAAAAAATAAATAAGTCCAGGAACAACTTAACTGTGGAAATCCATGCAACAGAGGCTTCAATGTAAATTATATTTCTCTTTGAAAATTATAAAATGTTGTGAAACAATAAGCAGCCTATAAAGGCAAAGTATTAGCAATGGAAGTATGAGTTGCATGAAGATAATTTATTTTGTTATTCCTCTCAGCGTTCATTTACTTTCTTTGGCTTTTCTGAGCTAGGACCTGCAAATAGCTGATGTCTCAGACAATGAGCTGAATACTACTTTGAAGAGCCTAGCTCAGGTGAGCTAACGACAGTGCCTACTTTGGAATTTCCAGCTCTCAGATGAAGGTAGCCAAAGCAGAGAGGCAGCCCTTAAGTAAGAACTCAATCTGTTTCAAAACGGTCTGATTCCTTACAATTGGAGTTGTGTGGGTTCCTATATTTGGTATATTATATTTGATGATTGGAGTGTTCCTTTAAAACTGGCCAAATAAACCTAATTTCAGGTTGGCAATTTATTCATAAAAAGTATGCTTTCAGACCAGTTGTATTTCAACTTACCTTTGTCCCAGGAGGCAGTCCCTCTAATTGCTTTGGCTTTCTGAAGGTCCTATGATGCTGAGTTTTATGATCCATTTTTTCTTTACAAGTCAAAAACTGCAGTCTGCATTTGGCACATCTATATACGCCTTTATTCTACATTGAAGAAAAAAACATCATAATGCAAACTATCAAATTTGATTTGAACACAACAGACACAAAGAAAAAAAAAGAAAAGGGGAAACAAACTAAACAAAGCATAATCAACAACATATATATTGTGCCTAAACACTATCTACTTAGGTTGATGGAACCATTACATTTATCAGTCTGATCACAGTAACTCATATTTTATAGTACACATTACAGCTTTTCTGATGGTTAGGGTGCAAAGAGTGCCCTAGTGTTGCGTCAGTGTAGTTTGTTAAACCATTTAATACTAACTGACTACTTACCTGGGTCCCTGTGCTCCATCTGGTCTCCTGCAGAAGAAGCCGGCTGTTTCTATTCAGCTAAATACTGCAGTGATTATAGAGTTTGGAGTGTTCCTTTAAACCAGTCTTAACAACCTATACAAGTTCAACTTACTTGATGCTTCATGTAATGCTGCATAAACGGTGTTCCACATTTAATGACTTTGAGACAAAACGGGCATAGCAAACTTTTTGTATTTTCATGGGAATTTCTGAAATGGGTGTCCACTTCCACAAAAGATGAGGATCTGAAATTACATACCTAAAGGTAGAGGGAAAAACAACAATTCTTAAACTTTGTGGCTGACAAAGCCACACTGAAGGGAAAATACCTTTTTAATCAGTATACATTTTCAGACAGCTTCTCCAGTCAGCTCATTCAAAATTAACAAATTGAATATAACAAGCTCATTTACATTTAGAGAGAAACACAAATCCAAACTTCCACCTGCAAAGACTTTCATAGTGTGCATGTGCCTAAGAGGACCTCAATAATGACAGATTTATAAAAAAAAATAAATGTAAAAACATATACTATAAGAAAAAGAAATGTAATTGTTCAATTATACTATTGACATCCTATTTACTAGACATCATAACAACAAAATGCCTCTTAACGAGACTATTACTTATGAAAATGACTCACATTGAATAAAATATTGAAAATTGCCTATAACTTGTGTTAAGCTTTTTTTATTTTCCAATATTATGATTCATCATTCTTTAAATGCATATTAAAGATGTATCAAACGAAACCACAAAATTCAGCTATGCCTAGGCACAGCCAGGGTGCACTTTGCATTTATCTGTTTATCTGTATACCTTTACTATGCTAGTGCAAATGACAGCGCTTTTAACAATGATTGACAGGAAGCTAAGATGGAGATGCCCAGTTGCAGGATAAAGTGGTGTAAATTTCTACATTTTATTTCATTTTTCACACTTCAATACAAATATAATTTTTTCAAATTTTGAGAAGTAACCATTCTTAGTATTGGCACACTACATCTACATAATTTTGCCCCTCCCTTGCGAGTTTTTCACATGGGCAAGAAAAATAAACACAAACATGCAACTGAATCATAAGAGAAGTCACAAATCTTGACTTTTAAAGGAAGGGTAGGGACATTTGTTAATACATCGGTAACCTTAAACTGTTTTCTTTTTCCACATTTGCATTAGCATGGGCCCTGCAATGCCCAAAAGGAGATAGACATCCTACTTACAATAGGTGATTCCAAAATCTTGAGAGGGTTTTGCAGAAAATAAGAGGTTATTATAAAACAAAAGGTTTTTTTTGCCTTAAATTAATATGTTGCTCCTATCTGCTAGTATGCAAGAATAATTGGATTTGGTTACACTAACTCTTATGAAGATAGCTGAGTTATTACAAAATTCATAACTCCAAGAACCTTCTACATATTATTTTGGAATACAAAAATCGTATCGAGAAATGATTCTATTCCATTTATATATGCCTCATCTGTATTTTTCCAGGGACGGATAGATTCTAGTCTACCATAAAACACATGGGGAGGGCACTAAATAGTGGAAATGCTTTATTGCCTCAGTAAAATAATTTTTACCTGTTTATGTGCTCATTGTGTGTTTAAAACTATTTTGTAAACTTTGTACTGGCTATCTTCAGTAAAAAGCTGTTGAGTGGAAAAAAACAAACTATTTTACAAAGAATAAAATGATATTAAATGCTTAACACATTAGGGAATCCGAAAATAGAAAATAAAACACAAATCGATATTGTATGTTTTACTGATGTTTCGCAACTTACTTGGCACACATAAGGCATTTCTCCAGGCTTATGATTGTCTTTCATATGTTGCAACAAAATCTGCTCAGATTCAAACGATAATTCACATATCTTGCAAATGGCTAGAGAAATGATAAACAACAAAATAGTTAAATATTTAAAATCAAACAACTTATTAAAATAATCACTATAAAATTCAAGGATTTTACCCTACCCCACCAGCCAAAAACAACAAACAAACAAAAAACTGTGATTGATGAATTCAGCTTGTATTACTGAACAGTCTTATCTCTTCCATTGCTCCAGATGAAGAGAGACTAAAGTACTTAAGCACACCTACTGCAGAGGATGGAGACACTGCCCCAGGTAGCACCTCTAGTGGCCATCTGAGGAGCGGTTAGTGGAGTTATCACTAGGGTGTAACGTAAACATTGCATTTTCTCTGTAGAGAGACAGTGTAACCTGCAAAAACCCTGAAGGCAATGATTCTACTCACAAGAACAAATACAATACGCTGTAGTTGTTCTGGTGACTATAACGTCCCTTTAAACATGACAGCAAACACTTATTCCATTACGCAGACTGTCGTAAACATACTTGTGTTAATCAGATCTAGTCAACTCAATTATATTGTACTTTAACATACAGCTGAATCCAGTACCAAAGTATGAGATTAAAACAGCTATGGCAATTTACAGATATGATCCAGTGGGAAACACCTACTGTGCCATAAAATATATTAAATGTTTCTTCAATATCAGAATTGAATGGTTGTTCCTAATGACAATGCAGATGTAAACTTAATCTAATTAAAGATATGTCTCAAAACCCAAAATGTTTTCTGGAACATTACTTTTACCAGTGTTTTATAGACACCAAAAAACAATTATTCACAATATCTAATGCATGGAAAAAAAATTATGGAATTTTAGTTTGCATCATGATTTCACTTTTCCCGTTTGGAATATGGCAAAAATAAAACATTTGTAAATGATGGATGTAACGCAGATAAAAGATCTTAAAAGATAAGCCCCTCAGACACACATAAAACGTTTGCTTCCTAGTGATCTTACTTGTTGATTCGTAGAGTGTATGAGAACTCTCAATATGGCACTGCAGCTGGAATGGTGTGGGAAACTGCCGATAACAGTGGTGGCAGGTGGTGTGGTTTTCCCAGCTTTCGGTGCTTTGCTTCTCAAGCTCTAGATGGTGCTTCATATGGTTCATAAACCTACCAATGGGAAAACAGGTGCACAAAGTTACCAAATGAATCATGTTCAATGTATACGATATAAACTATTTATATAATGCTGGAACAAATATAGAACTTGCACTTCCAACTTACAATGGTCCTTCAAACATATTTCACACTATTAAGTATGCATACTTTTTTTATTTATATACTAGGTAAAAAAAGTATATATATATATATATATATATACACACATACACATACACACATATACATACACACACACACACACGTTATAAAAGTACTGATAAGTATTCATTTTCAAAGCAAACTAAGGCCTCGATCTAATTTAGTTTGGTAACACTGATATTTTTTTTAATAAATTATAAAGTTTTTGATATTTTAATATTTTGAAAAAAAATATTTTACAAGTTTATCCAAAATATGAAATAATTTAGAAAGCTTATCCGGAATTATTAAATCCGTGCCTAAATATTTAAGCGAGAGAGACAACACTTGCCAGTAGGTTATCAAGCTGGTGTGAACTTCCTTACAAAACATTCTATTCCATCTAACCTCTTAAGGACGGAGGCAATTTTCCAACTTCTAAAACAAAACCTAGAATCTGAGCTATATGTTTGTTCAACCATAATTTACCACTTTCATATTAAGTGCTCTCACACATATGACATACAATTTTGTTCAGGAGAAATAGGACTTGTATTTTGAATCAATATTTATATGAGAAAAATGTATTAAATCTGTGTATGAAATTAATACATTTTCTTATTTTTACATATCACCATTAGTGATGTCGCGAACGGTTCGCCGCGAACTCCGGTCAGCTGACACATCCCTGCCAATCTCCGGCAGACCCTCCCTCCCAGACCCTCCTACTTCCTGGACAGCATCCATGTTGAAGGCAGCTTCAACATGGATGCTGTCCAGGAGGTGGGAGGGTCTGGGAGAGAGGGTCTGCTGGAGATTGGCAGGGATGTGTCAGCTGACCGCGGTTCGCGACATCACTAATCACCATGTACAGGTTTCATGGTGTTTTGGAAGGTTACAGTTTTTACACAATGAAATTTACCAGATTGGTTTTCTGGGCCGATGTTGCCTTTGAGATTGTATGGCAGCACAGGAATGAAAACTACCTCCAACATGGCCTACAACCCACAAAAGTAGACAACCAAGGGTATTTAAAATGGGAAATGTCAAGTCTTATTTAGTAGCCACTTAGTCACAAACCCTGGCCAAAGGTAGTGTTCATATTCAGTGTTTTCTTGCATTTTTCATACAAAAACTGCACTTTCACTGATAAAATCACCACCACTATATGTTTTACTGCTCTAAAACACTTATATTTGTGTTCAGTGATGTCTTACGGGTACAAAAGGTACAAACCATGTACAGGTTTTATGGGGTTTTGGAGGGTTACAGGTTCAGAGCTTGCAAATTAAATTCTCTGAAATGTTTTACTGGGTTGTCAGGCAGGTTTCCCACTATATAATTAATATAAATACACCTAAAATGAAATATATATATATATATATATATATACACACACACACACACACATACACACATACATATACACACATACATACAAACAAACATAGATAGTTTCATTCTACTTTAATTTTGAGTGTATTTATATATAATTATCGTATTTTATGTATTATATATTGGGGGACCTACCTGACAACCCAGGCAGTCTTAGTCTAGCCAATCTAACTAATGTGTCCTGTGATCGCAGTGTCATCGAGATCACATGACTCATCGCTGGGTCAGCTGCAGGGGGACTGCCTGGATTGTCAGCGCGAGGACCAGATCGTTAGGGTGTGTTATGCTGCCCTAACAGCGTTAAAGCCATCCTTTTGTATGACACATTGCATGCCCTAATGCCAGGAAGGGATTTAAAAAAACAAAAAAAACCACATTAAATTAATTTAATGTTATTGGCATTAATTGGGGAAGGAAGCCGTGATAAAAAAGAAAAAACACCTGAATATCCTTAAAGAGGACTATGGTCGAGGGAGCTCCGTCCTCGGAGGCACAGACCCGGCAATCACCAGCACCCGCAACCGGCTCTTACACACCCACCCGGCCACCTCGTAACTCACCCACGGTACCTCACTACATAACGATGGGGGGCGGGCGGAAAACAAAGCAGGGAGCTGCAGAAGTAGCTCCGATATTGCGGAGCCGCAAAGATGGCGGCGCCACGCGGGAGGAAGAAGAAGGCCGCGAATATGACTCAGACTCTGCAGCCAGTGACAGGAGCAGAACAATGGCAGCTACCCCCCTCACCAAAGAGGACCTCCGCCAGCTACTAAGTGACATTAAGGCAAATATGGCTACAGAATTTGACAGGCACCTCACACCCATCAGAGAAGGCCTGATTGACTTGACCCACAGAACTTCCACAATTGAGGAACAACTGGACCTGACAGTTACACGCACAACAGCAACTGAACATGCCATAACCACCCTACAAGAACAGCTCCGACAGTTAGAGGAGGCACAAGAGGACCTGAACAACCGGTCCCGCCGAAATAACGTAAGGATACGTGGAATACCAGAATCGGTCACAATAGAGGCACTGGGCCCAACGCTACGAGAGCTCTTTTGTGGCCTGCTCCGGGAGGCCACACCGGCGGAACTCCTACTAGATAGAGCGCACAGGGCTCTCCGAGCACCTATGCCCAATGCAACCCAACCCAGGGATGTTATCATAAGAGTGCACTACTTCCACATTAAAGAAGCACTCATGCAAGCGGCACGAAACGCCCCCCTACAAATAGAAGGTCACCAAATCTCCTTCTACCAGGACCTGGCCCCGAGCACCCTGCGCAAAAGGAGGGAGCTGCGGCCCCTCACTCAGGAGCTCACGAGACAACACATCCGCTACTCATGGGGGCACCCATTTAAGCTGCAGGTCCGGAAGAACAACCGCACCTACACCCTATACAACACCGCGGAAATGGCGGATTTCGCAGAGAGCCTCAGCCTGGATCCCACAACTCTCACCACAGACCCGAATCCCAGAAGACACGACAGAGGCCCTCCGCCCAGAAATGCACCACCGATAGCCCCGGCACGCCAGATACCGAATAGCCCACGCATCAGGGCCAACAACTAAACGGACCGACAACCACTCAACACTCGACACACCAACAGAGGACCAACATACCAAATAAGAAATAAGAAACGACACGGACTACTCTCAAGAGGATTGTGGTCACCACAGCTGACAAAGTACCCGAACATGAAACCTGGACTGACTAAAGAACATTGGCAATCCCACACCCCGATAATGGACTGGAAACAGCCTAAACCGCTGACAACTCCAAGCTCCAGATAAGCTATAATTAACAAACTCTCTCCTTGCTTTATATAATGTTTCCTGTTCACTGTTTGGTTGCTAGGACTCATTCGGTAGACAGTAATTATATGTCTCCAGTCATTAGGCATCCTTCCATAAATAGAAATTATAGACTCAGGAATGTGGGTAGCACGCACTAGTACCCTGCTTGGCACCAATCCACGTAGTCACAGACCACTGCCACCCAGGGTGCAAAGTGGAACAGCTGCCCCACATTCACCCACCACACAGGTTTCCTAGATGCCGCAGCATAAAATACCACGACCCAGCACTAAAACGGAGCAGATACCCATAGGGAGGCACACTCTGGGCAGGGAGGGATGGCTGGGGCACCCCCCAATAATGGGCATGGCAGGCGCCCAATACAAGACAATTTTCAGGAGTACACCTCAAAACACTGATGGCTCCCGTGAGCGTAAACACTTCCCCAGGAGACCCCATAAAGCAGTATCCGGGATCACACTCTGCTCCCGCACAAAACACACTGGGACCCAGGAGATGCGGGCACACCCTCCACACAGAAAACCGGGGACAACACCACAAGCACCAGAGAGAATGAGCGCAAACGGCACGCCCTGGGAAACAGCAGGACTTAGACAGGCACACCCAGAGCACATACAACCCCTAGGGTCCAATGCAAGCTGGGGCACCACCAAGGATAGGATCTGACCAATACAGGGAGGGTCTCACACTAACCCACAAGACTTGCAAAGACAAAGCACCAGGCAACCGAGGGACCGGGAAAGTGTAGCTATCAATCAACCCCCCCATTCCTTCAGCCTCCCTAGCCCAGGGACCCTCTAGGGCTCCCCACAGGGAGACACCATAGGGGAAGATACGCAACACGGGAACCCCTGGATACTAAAGCAGAGGAAATGTATATAACTGAATTGAAGTTGATGTTAAACTGTTGTGTTACAATGTAAAACTGTTACTCATTATTTTTCAGCTAACCGACACACCCCACCCCACCTCAAGTGCTGACGAACGCCACTTACAGCAGACGGCATCCCGACGACATCTTACGACTGGACGGTGACAGCACACCCTCACCACTGCACCAATATTAGACGCATTAACGACCAGACCAACGCCCCACGGGTTCACAAGGTACAACCCTACACACACACGGCACGACACGCAGAGGGCTACCCTCGCGGACGCAACGCCTCCACAACGCTGACCGATCACAGCACACAAGGTAACGCGGACGACTACTGAAAACTGCCTCTGGACGGCCCAGACCGGACGGTCGCCAACCCCCGACACACACACACCTACCCGAACTCACGGGGAAACCCACAGAGCGGTCGGACGCTTCGCCCCACTACCTACTGGCCTTCGGATAAGCCCAGTAGCACACTCTACCCATTTCTCCCTCCCACTACCTTAACCCAGGCTAACACCCTCAGCCCTCCCGCCCCCCCCTTCCCCCCACCCCTCGCGGCCCGCGGCCACCCGGACGCGCAACTCAAGATACCCCATCACTGCAAAACCGCAGAGACCGCCACACTCCTACAGATAACATGCCTACACAAATACGCTGCATCTCCATCAACGCCAAGGGGTTGAACTCCCCCAACAAGAGGCACGGCATTCTACGCTGGACACATAAACAGCAAGCTGACATAGTCCTCATACAGGAAACCCACTTCACAATCAACCGCATGTTCCCCCTCACTAACAGATACTACACACAAAGCTTCCATGCTCCCTCCCCAGACACCAAGACCAAAGGTGTAGCGATCCTTTTGAGAGCAAACAGCCCCCTCACAGATATCACTTGCTCCAAAGACCCACAGGGTAGATACATCACCATACGGGGAAAAATAGGCACAACACAATACGCCTTTTCATCGCTCTACGCACCCACAACACCAGACCCAACCTTCTGGCAACAATTAGCGACTCACCTCAACACGTACTCAACCACACGACTTATAGTGGGCGGGGACTGCAACGCAGTACACACTCCTGCCGTAGATCGGGCTTCAAGCGCCAAAACACGAACTCGCCCAAACCAAAGCGACGTCCTCTTCGCCCAATTCCTGGCTTCCCATAAACTGATTGACATATGGAGGGCACAACACCCGACCACCAAAGACTACACTTTCTACTCCCACCCACATAGATCCTATTCACGCATTGACCACTTTCTCATCTCACCAAACTTACTATCTCAAATCACCAAATCGGAGATTGGACCTATCTCCTGGTCCGACCATGCCGAGATAGCAATCACTCTAAACCTACCAACCATACATACACACTGGTCATGGCGACTTAACCCAATACTCCTCCACGATCAACTGATCAGAGACAAAATAACTATCGCAATCAAAGATTATTTCGATTTAAACTCACCCACAACGACCTCACCTATGACCCTCTGGACAGCACATAAAGCAGTCATCAGAGGCACACTCATCAGCCTAGCCACCCATAAAAAAAGACAAACACAACGACAAATACTAGAAACGATGACAGAACTCCGCCGACTAGAAACGGAACACAAAAAGAACCCCAACCCGACCACCCTGTCCAAACTCACGGCGACCAGAAACCTCCTTAACACCCTCACACAAGCAGACACAGCCAAAGCTCTGATGTGGCTCAAACAAAAA